CTTACTTACCTACTTACCTACTTACTTGTTTAGTTAGTTACGGGGTTTCAGATACCGCTATACAGGGCAGTTATCGCTGACCACTACTGTTAGCTACGATTGCAGCTTTAAAGCCGCAAAATACATGCAGGATTCGTAACACCCGAGGTTGAGCTGACTAGCTTAACATGCTTTCAAATTTTACACCCCAAGCCTTCAAGCGCTGGAACTCTACACCCTAAGAACCCCAAATCTGATTCTAAGTATATCAACTTGACATGCCGGGCTGAGTGCCCCGGCACCGAAGGCTTCTGGAGACAGCGTCCAGGTCCAACATGGGACCGTCAAAGGAGCCGAAACACACGAACAGTTTGGGATGGTCACATTTCTCCTCAAGTCCACTAAGACCCAAGGAAGACCTGCAACCTTGCAAGCCTAGCTTGGAGACCTACCCTCGACCCTCGACAAAATCCTAGAACGGGCCATGGTTGGAGGACCGAAACTCTCTGAGACTTTGAGAATGGGGCGTCCTTCGCCGCATCCTGCAGACAAACAGACATAAACCCTTGCAGCCAGAAAACCTAGCATCCCGAATCCCAGCTTCGGCCTTTGCAGCCGCGGTCCCCCCTGCAGCTGCACTCGCAGACGACCTGATGGAGTTCAAGCGGGATGGGGTTGTAACCTCTGGGTCTATAAGGTTTTCGGATTTGGCTTTGCGGTCTCTGCGACAGAAGGTTGTTGCTCCAGGTTTTGTTTGGTCAGCGTTGTGGAGTTTGGAGGCTTGGTGCACGACTCAAAGCGAGCCTGCAATCAAAATACGGAGACATGCAACTTCATGGGGGAGTGCCATTTCGCGAACCGTTCATGTTTGCACTGATGAAACATATTTCTGTGACGAGGAACGCAGAAGCCACCAGCAAACCGAGGGATGCAAGCGCTCCAGTAGCACTATCAAACTGGTAACATCCAAATTCTGTTGACAAACCTGACGCCGCAAGCCATGGTCTTGAAGGAATGAAACTCTGGGCTTGGAGTTGTCAATATACGACGAGCCATGCCAAAACCCATGACTTCTACTATTTTGATGTGGAATACTCTTCCAACACTGCATACAGGAGGGCTGAGGGCCTTGCATGGTTCATGAAGCTCGTTGAGTTGGGTTTAAGGCTGTGGGGCTCTTCGAGGTCAGTATCCATTTGGAAATTCATGACCAAATTGAAAACTGCGAGTGGCCTCAAGAACATCCTCGGACCCCAACGGTCGCTTGTCTGCACCCAAGGAACAAAGTTGTGGTTTTCGTGGTATTTGCTGTGCAAAACGCTTCTCTGTCCTGCCGCACGCGAGCGCGTGAACAGGGCTACGGAGCGTTTTTCGTCTACTACTGCATCCAACGCGAACCCACCAAACTCCAGCCCTGAAGCACTCTTGCAGCCTCTGAGTACTGCAACAACCTGCCTGCCACAGATCGCTCGTCGATGTCGCCCCTGGCAATTCCTGATGCCAAGAACTGAATCACGCAGATTGTAACTCGATATGTCCAAACATGAGCTCAAGCCGTAACTGTTCTAAGCCGACCGTAGCACCTGCGAATTATGCACCATCCCACTTCGGTTGCCGCCGGAATGCAAGCCCTCTCTGGTGAACTTCGTACTTAAAGTACTTGTCTACAACAGGGTTACAACACCTTGCAGGCAGCTCATATCGTTTCTGGCAAACGAATACTGGTGACAGGGTCGACCCTACCAAAGTATACGAACTGAAGCGTGGTTCGTTTGGACCGAAAAGCATAACAAGACGTGCAGCAAAAGCAAGAACAGACGAACAACTCTTGATTCCTACACTTCGATTGTGCAGCCGAGGCTCCGCTTAGAATGCTGTCATGCCCATAATCGCGCTGAGGCTGACACCCTTGTTGATACCATCTTATGGGTGCTGTCCAATGCACACCGATCTGATGGAGTGGAATTGATGCCGCTTAACCGGCTTCTCAACAATGCCGCAATCGATTGTCATCTCGAAACAGTGCTGCGAGCACACACTTGCTAAGATGTTCAGGATTTGGGGCTACGACCTGTGGAACGGATTGCTCGAGCGTCATGCAAGGTCACCGAAATTGGCTTGGGAAGCACAGCCTTCCTGACGGCCCCGGGACTTCCCAAGCTGTTTTTATCTGCTGACAGCATCCCTATGGCCCTATGGTATGTGGATGCCAAGCATGGATCCTTACACAACGTACCTGGTCTACACGGCCAATGTCTGCCCAGTCCATCAAAGCTCGGTCTTCCCCAACGCTCCACTTCGTTCACTCGCCCCTGTGAGCCCGACAACCTGGCCGGCAGAGCATGGATATTCTGATAAGCGCTTCTTTGGTCTGCCGCTGAATCACTGAATGGTGAAACTATGGTTCTTTAGTGGGGCTCAAGAAGCTCTCTCCTCCGGAGGTGTTGCTGTCTCCTCCCAGAGCGCAGTTGCGCCACGGTGTCGAAGTTGCCACCCAAGGGCCTGTACACTACGATGGAGGTCTGCGGACACCAGTCGGAGGTTCCACCCGTCCTTGGCACCAGTCTGCACCTGCTGCCTGGAGCAAAGCTGCATTCAGTGCCGCCAGCGCCGTTTCACTGCCTTTTAGAAGCGGCTGAAAATCCTGCACAAAGCTTAGCGACTTGTACTTTATGTATTCTTTGGGAGCAAGCACGACGCCCTGCGACAATAAGGCCCCCAGAAGGGAGAATGAGCTCTTGCCCCCAATCAAGGCAGTAGAACATGCAAAAGTACGCAACGCATCTGTGACGGTTGATGTAGTGCCATCCAGGTACTCAAAGTCACCAGAAAATCTTGCTGCAAAGGCAGTCTTCACTTCAGGCCCCTCGCTCAGAAGCTTGACGCTGAAGTTGCACAACTGCTGGAGCTTCTTAATCACTGCGACACCATCGTCAATTGCGATGGATCGATAATTTATGTCACTGACGTTGCCTTGTTCCTTCTTGAGGTCGCCCCACCGAAAATGATATGCCACGTATGGCTGCTGCGGACAATAGTTTGCTGGCATGGAGTATTGAAAGAATCTTTCCTTCAATGGGCTGAGGTAAGATGTGTGGCCTTGGTCAATACCACTTTCTTTCACGAGCAGCAGTGCTGGCTCTTGCACAACACTAAGCATTTTGAAGATGCCAAGTTCCATTTGGATTGCCTCTCCAGGTACTTCCAACCTTGCAAAGCCTGTCAAGTCTGAGCGGTTTTGGCAGAGCGGCTGGCAAAGACCCAAGATTTCGGTGTAGTCGATGCCATCATGCGCATTGCGCAAGGTTCCTAACCAAGGTAACCCCAAAGCCAGTGCATACGATAGGCTTTTGTGGTAGTGTTGTAGAAGGCTGCCCAGCCCTTCGGTTTCTCCGTTGTTCCGAGGCAAAACCGCAATCACTGAAGATGGTGACAGAGTCTGATCTACAACTTCTGGATCCTTTGTGGCGAGGAAGACCCTCCGTGCATTGTATGCGCGCGCAGGATATGAAAAAGTAGCATTGCTTTCCGTAGTTTCTGGATGCAGCGCTTGGAGCTCCGTGCTACCAGTGGCCCAAAGCTGTAGCTGCGACGTGTCATCTGTCAGATTGTGTGGCGCAGCTTCAATCAGCTTCTCGCTGTCCTTGGTGGTTAATCGTCTGCATAGACTGCTAACACCTCAGACCAAAGGTATGCAAAACAACCCGAGGACACCCTCCCGCCAAGCGTCGCTGTCTAGCATGGCTCCAACGAACTCGTCCGGCGTCTGTCTGCCCAAAGGATCAGAACATGGGAACCCTAGGCCTACTGCGATTGCAGTTTGGAGCATACGCTTTAGGACTCAGATTTCAAGATTTGGGCGGCCACAATACTACAACGACAAGGAACACAAAGCACACACACCACCGTCACCATCATCATCATCATCATCATCATCAGCATCATCAGCATCACCATCACCATCACTCTCATCATCATAGCTGTGACCATCATTGCCATAGTCGCCATCACACACACACACAACACCAACTCCAGTAGTGATAAAAAACAGCGAAACTGACAATCTCGTTCATTTAGTCATCTCAGTGTCATTGAGATTATGAGAACAAAGGTAGAAACACTAGCAACAATAGGGACAGAAGCAAAGTTTTGCAAACCGCCCATGCAAAGGCCTCAGTGCGACGCTGGGCAGGTCTGCTGTCAGCTTCCGCACCTTCAGGGATGCAAGCAACGAACAGGGTTCTAGGGTGTGTTCTGGTATGATTAAATCACGTACTCGTACTCATACTAGGCCCCTATATACATGTATACACATACACATACACATACACATACACATAGACATAGACATACACATACACATACACATACACATACATATACATACATGTGTGTATATATATATATAAATATATATATATATATATATGTGTGTGTGTGTGTGGATTTGTATATACATACATACATACATACATACATACATACATACATACATACATACATACATACATACATACATACGCACATACATGTCTATACATATTATATATATATATATGTATGTATATATATATATATAGATGTGGCATGCTTTGCCCTTTGTTGCATGGGCCTTTGCAGGATTCTATGAGGGTTTTATCGGGGGCT